CCCCTTGGAGCTTAGACAACTCGATAGCTGGGCAGCTTTCCTCACTCAGAACCATCGTCGTGGTAAAGGTCCGCATTAAAGCAGCCAAATCCTCCGTCAGGACCTGCCTACGAGAAGCCCGGTCCGTACTTAAGGCCATCTTCGCCTCCCCAACCGAAATGCTAGGCGACCTAGCCCCGTGGAAGTAACCGGGGTGCTGATGGCAAGGCACGATTGAGTAACCCTCCTCAACAAATCTCGTCGACAGGTCGACCACGCTCTCCACCTCCTGAACTCTGGGCCTCTTCGGAGCCCCCTGGGATGTGGGGGACTGACTGCTTTGAGGAGACGAAGAACCCTTGCCGTCCTGATCAATAGAAGCCTGCTCGACCAACTGACCAAGTTGCATCTTCGGGGTAGCAGCGACCTTCGACGCCCGCAACTTCTTCACCCGCTCCTCGACAGAAGACATGTTTCCTGCAAAACAAAGGAAATAAGTCAATAACAAATAAAAAATAACAAATAAAGAGAAGAAAGAGGCGTCCACCACCTAGATAGATAAGGGTCTCTGCCTCCGAGGAACAATCGAGCAGGGCTTTCGTGTTGATCAACCTCGCCGTCTCGCAGACATTCCCCTGACTATCGAGGATATACTGGTCGTCGGGTGTCACCAACTTTGACGGCGGCAGGCTACGCACAAACGCGACTATCTTCAAATAGCCAGCCATGTCCTCCTCGTCGAAGGACCCCGCGCACATTATATAACAGGTCAGTCCCCCTAGAGAAATGTTCCGGGGACCATTCCACGTGCACCCTCGGCTGCATAACGGCTTCCCGCTGGCCGTTCACTATCCGCTCCCCTGCAGAGTATAAAGAGTCGACCCCTGCATGCGTGATCGGGCTGACGATGAAGAAGTGACCCTTGAAATCTCGAACAGAATCCATATACGTCTTGAAGAGCCTGTTCGGTTGTTTGAACGACACCCATCCATGCGTGTCCTCCACCGTCTGCCGCTGCAGATGGAAGACGCGAAAAAACAGCGGCAACGTGACACTGACCTCGAGGAAACGACACACGACCTCGAACGCCCGAATAAAAGCTAAGGCATTCGGATGCAATTGGGAGGGGGCCAACCATAACCAGTCGAAGAGGCCAAGGTGAAAATCTGAGAACGACAGCCTGAGCCTGGCCTCCTTAAAGTAGAACTCGTACATCGAAAACCGCATCCTCCCGTACTTCGAACATATACGATAACGTTCCCGAGGATGGTAGACCTGCCAGTTTTGGGGATCACCTTCCTCTCGATCCTCCACGGTGGCATAAGCTCCCGTCGAGTCAGAAGCAAAACAAGAGGGCGTGAACAGGGTCTCGTTGGCCACCCACTCCTCGAGGGGGAGGAGTCGCTCATCGAAATGAGGGACATCCGACTCGTTATCCTCGACCATTGTCCCCGGGACCAACGTAGTCATGAACACCTGAAAAGCAGAAGGTAACGGTGAATTCAATGACAAAGATCAAATTCACCCTTCCACCGCAAGTCAAGTGAAAGGGCGACGAGGACATCCCGGACATCATCCTCGGTGGCTCAGTCCAAAATCCTATCGTCTCCCCGAGACACCTACCCAACTAATCTACACACTCTCCCCGGGACATTCATCATAATAAGCATTTGTCCCCGGGGCGTTCAACGAAATAAGCATCTGTCCCCTGGGCATTCATTGGAATAGGCGTTTATCCTCGGGGCACTCATTCAAAAACCCTAGAAAGCTCCGCCTATAGCGGCAGAGACCCATACCTCTCCTCGGGGCATTCAACATGCCCCGACCATGATCCTAAAACAAACGAGTAAAACAAAAGAAAGGAGAAGAAAAACTTACTATATCGCGATCTACGGCGGAATGCGAGGCGGCTGTAACGACGGAGATATCGAACGAAAGCAGAGCGGCAGATCCTAGTGGTTGGAAGCAAGAAGGTGAAAAGTGGAGAATGAGCGGGGGCACGCTTACTTATACCCCAGCACGGGACTCGAAGCGTCACTAGGCACTCGAGTACCCTAGGGTAGCCGCCCTAGCAGCCACCCAGCGCATGACACGTGGCGAAGGTTGACAGTCACGTCTCTTCACATCTCCCCGCCAACACGTGTCCTCAACCCCCGGACACCCGATGACAAGGAAGGACTCACGTGCTCGCGTCCTCGCAGAATGCGAGCTGGAGGATTTTTTCCTCTGGTTAACCTCTCCTCCCCGACACAACGTCATCAAGTCCTCGCTCCCTCCCTCGGAGCTACGACTTGGGGAGCTCCTGGCCTTGGCCCCGGCTTGACCGGGCAGGCCCAGCCCAATGATATTCTGCCAAGCCCAATCCAGCTTGAGCCACATCCGTCGAGCACAGAGTCCCCGCCGGGCAGGCAATGCCCCTCCGCGGGCAGATCCTTCTCTGCCCTGTCGGGCAGAACCTTCCCCATTTATGTTGAGCACAAGACTTCCCGTCGACCAGACACTGTCCTCCGTGGGCAGAACAACGTGTCCTTCACATGTTCTCCACGTGCTCCCCTCTGCGGGGACACGTCACTAGCCAATTGCGCACCTCCGAAATAGCAGGTCAAACTCACTTTCTGGAGATCACGGGACAGTTGGACTAGGGCGAAGACCACGTTCTGGTCTTCACTACGCCACGTAAGCCCTAGCAGTCATTCGGGTTGGGCCTGGCCATCCAGCCCAACTCAAATGACTGTTGGCCCTGCGCTGGGGTCTCTCTATAAATACCCTTTTTCACAAGAGGGTTAGGTGTTCTCTTCTGACCCCTTTTATGTATTTGCTCTCACTCTGCCCAATTCCTTACTTTGGCATCAGAGTGTCTTGCAGGTACACCCCCTCCTCTTCTTCAACACCGGTGAATAGGCAGTAAGTCAAAGACGCGTGGCAGTCAGTGATCCCCTTCTGATCAGGTCAGATCATATATAAAAGTAAATCTCAAAACATTACAAACAATAAAATTATAATCCACAAAAGGGTCAACAAACACATAAAGGTAGAGAGAAAGATCACCATTATTACCCATATGAGAGCTAATGCTCCAATAATAAAAAGAATTATCCCAAAGAGATTGAACAAATGTGTTTGAGATGTCACTAAGCTTAATCTCCCTTCTCAAGAGTATAAATTATTATACGTTTTTACTCTCAATAATAAATTATCATAATTATGAACTATATCAATCTATGCAAAAATTTGAGTTATATAAACTATGTGCTAGAAAATAAAAAAAAAATAATAAAAAAACATAAAAAATTTATATCATGATTCAAACCATCCACATGCACAACGTCCATAAACTCAAAATTAAATACATATTCACCTAAAAAAGAAAAAGAAATCATGCTCTAACATCTTACATGTCTTGGATCATAACCAAATTTATTATTAAACGCTAATGATAAATTTTGACATAAATTATGGATAAAATAAAAGGCATTTCAATAAAACTTACATATTTATCAAATATTTATATGTTGTTAAATCAAATTATAAACTACACATATAACTTTTATTATCGTAATGCTTATGCATTTAACCGACTTGTTTGTTTTTCATTGTTTTAGGTGAAATTTTGCCGGTTTTAAGTTTGTACACTGTTTTATGGCAATGACAAAAAATAAAGAAGAAATCACTCATAATCACAATTCTTTACCTAGTCAATAATATAAATAATATACAGAAATAAAAACAGAGGTCTCATGTTGCAAACTACCCCCAATGAACATAGCTTTTCTTCTTAACAAACATATAATTTTTTTTATGAAAAAAATAATAAAATAAATGGAGGGTGAAAAAGAGAAGAATAATTACCGAACAAGATGAGGATTGAGAAAGATGAGCAACAAGAAGCTCTTCTGGGATTTGACCGGTATGTGAGTATGGGATTTAAGGGATTTAAGGTAGTGATTTGGGGTTTGAGGAACGATCAAACTCTTGGTTCGATTTGGGATGGATTTGACAGAGATTTAAAGAATTACAGAGCAATTGGGATTCTGGTTTGATTTGAGATTTTGGTTTGATTTTAAGAATTATAGAAAGATTTGGATTTGACGAGCGATTGAAGATTTACGGAACAGATTTGATGAAGTTGTAAGGTTTGATTTTGAGGAAGTTCAATGGTTTTTTTACAATATCAAGAAGTTTGATAGTTTTGATGATATTGAAAGATTCAATGCATAAATTGATTATTCTATAATATTCACATAAATTTGTTTTAATGGTTTATTGTTAAAAAAATTATTCTATAATAAGTAAATTAATAGAAATAGTTTTTTGAGAAAAGCTTGCCAGGGACATTATAGGATTAGAATATTTCAATTAATAATTAATTACTAAATCATATTTTAATTAATAAATAAATAATTAATCATATAAATTTAATTAATTAAATATGATTTAATAATTAGAAATATTAATATATATTATAGATTATAAATTTTTTGCTTACTACATTTTAGCCAAATGAGTTAGTGTATTACCTGGAATTGAATAATTAATTATTTCTAATAGAAAATTATTAAATTTATTTAATTATTATTATTATTACAAAAAAAGTATTTGTTTTTTTGAAGTAGTATCTAGAGTTTTATTTATGGTATACTAACGAACCTGAAACATACGTGTAAAATAATAGAAATTTGAAAATTAAAAATTAAAAATGAAAATTAAAACTAATCAACTATATTTTTTTGTTACTTAATATTTAAAATTTAAAAGTAAATATTTGAAATTTAAATGGAAATTTAATATTTATATAAATTAAAAACATTAATATTGAATTTTTCAACTAATTTTGATCAACTATGTTAAATTCTTATTTTAATTTTAAATTTAATATTTGATAACACTTAATTAAAGAATTAAATACGTTTTTAATTTTTAAAATATAATAATTTTTTTTTTGAATCAAAAATTGTGGTATTAACTCAAAAATCACATTACAATCCAAGGCGATCACATGATCCAGCCAACAAACAAACTAATTAAGGTAATAGTAACCTAGCTATATGTGGTCTAAGCTTAGGACTAGTCCACCCTCTATATACTATGTTGTTTATAATACTATCTAGGCAATTCCTATTATCTGTTCTTTGATTAAAACAGGAATCATTCCGATACATCCAGAGCTCGTGAAGAGTTTCCGCGAGTGCAAGCCTAAATAAATCAGATTTCCAGCCTTTCCCACCATAATTTCTCAGAGCCCATTGCATTTCATCTTTCCATCTTGTTGGGATGCGTTAAATGCCCATCCATTGAAGAACACCACTCCATATTTGCTTCAATTTGAAACAACAGAAAAATAAATGATCAATGGTTTCCTCTTCATTATAGAACCCACATTTGTTATTCTGGAGCATACCCAGTCTGAAGAGTCTAGCCTTGGTAGGTAGCTTGTCATGGCAGATCATCCATAGAGTAATAATTGCCCGGGGTCTGGCTCTATTGTGAAGAATAAGTTTAGCCCATGTAACATTAGGAGTAATAGGTAGAAGACTTTGATATACTTTTCTCCCAAGGAATTTACCTGTTTGCAGTATTTCATTCCAAGTATTCTGTATATTTACTAGACTGTCCCTTTGTAGAAGAATAGTTTTGAAGATTCCAAAGTCTGAGGCCTTAGCAGTTCTGGTCAGTATACCCTCGTGTCTTAAGTAGTAAGCATGTATCCATCGTACCCATAGATCATCAGATTTCGCAAAGATATTCCAGAGCAGTTTTATCATAAACATTCTATTCCATATTTCCAAATTCATCACATTTAGTCCGCCTTTCACATGTGGTTTACAAACATTATCCCACGCCACTGGACTCTTCCTACTGATAGTATTACCCCCTGTCCACAGAAAGGACCTGCATATTGCATTGATCCTATTAATCACAGTTTTTGGAAACCAGATACATTGCATCCAGTAGGTAGTGATGGCACAAAGTACACTCTTGATAAGTTGTAGCCTGCCTGCATAACTCAACAGTCTAGAGCTCCAATGAGTTATTCTACTTAATAATCTGTCTAACAACGGCATGTAATGGATAATAGCAAGACGCTTACTAGTCACCTGAATTCCAAGGTATCTAAAGGGGAAGGTTCCTTCATGGTAGGAAGTTAGCTGAAGGATGGCACACTTGACATTAGCAGAGACATTACTAAAATACACCCTACTTTTGGAAGGGTTTATTTTCAAACCTGTAGACTCCAGAAACTTGTTCACAGTTAAATGCAGGATATCCATGGACCCATAATCTCCTCTAGAAAACAACAACAGGTCATCAGCAAAGGTTAGGTGGGTGATTTGCAGCCGTTCACATGTAGCATGATGATTGAAGTCAGGGTTTTTTTGCATTCTGAACAGCAATCTATTAAGATATTCCATAATAATTACAAAAAGGAGAGGGGATAATGGATCCCCTTGCCTAATACCTTTTCTAGCTTCGATCTTATCCGTATACTTCCCATTAATATTAAATTGGTAAGAAACTGTAGTCACAGTGGTCATAATCCAATCAACAAATCTCGTAGGTAATCCTACTTCATTCAGAATATTTTCAAGCGCACCCCAATCCACCATGTCATAAGCTTTTTGGAGATCTAGTTGCACCATACATCTAGGAGGACCATTACTCCTAGTATAACCTTTTAAAAGTTCCATAGCAAGTAATATGTGAGAGTGGATTTTCTGACCCGGTACAAACGCTGCCTGCGCTTTGCTAATGATGCTTCCTAATACCTTACCAAGTCTAGCTGTGAGGATCTTTGAGATGATTTTGTAGATTGTTGAGCATCCTGCAATTGGCCTATAATCTTTCAGATTTTTGGCGTCCGGCTTTTTAGGGATCAGAGTAACAATTGTTTCATTGAAAGCTTTATAAAGCATATTTTGCTCAAAAAATTCTGTAACAGCTTCAATGACATCTTTCTCAACAATTTCCCAACTGTCCTTGAAAAATTTCCCACCGTATCCATCTATGCCTGGGCTCTTGAGATCACCAATCCCTTTTAACGCAGCAATGATTTCAGTAGCAGTAACCGGAGAAATTAATTCAACTCTTTGTTCCATGGACAGTTGAGGTCCCTCCCTCATAACATCAATGTTTATCATATTAATTCTAGGTTCTCTAGATCCCATTAGTTTCCCGTAAAATTCGCATACCTCGTTTTCTATGTCTTTCTGGGTGTGAATACAAGTGCCATCTTCTTTAAAGAGTTGACTGATATTAGTAGCTGCAGTTCTGGATTTGAGGTAGGCATAGAAGAAGGATGAATTTGTGTCGGCTGTACGAAGCCAATTAATCTTTGACCTCTGTCGCAGCATTTGTTCCGGTAGTTCATGGAGGTGGGTTAGTTCATCAGTATAACTCTTAACTTTCAAAATGGTCTCAGTGTTCATTCTTTCCACAGTGAGGCTTTCCTGTGCTTGTAGTAAATCTTGCCTTGTTTGGATTATGGTCTGTTGGAGATTTGACAGTTGTTTGCTCAATCTGCTAAGGGGGCCTTGTAATCTCATCAGTTTATGCCACAATCTTGCCATAGGTCTACCTTTAATTTCTTTGTTCCAACTCTGCTTGACAGTATCATGATAGCCTTTAATCTTCACTACATTGTTAGTAAATTTAAAATTTTTCTGCAATGCTCTATTTACCACATCAGCATTCAATTTTAACAGGCAATGATCAGAGATACTAGGAGGTAGAATCTCCAACTTCAAATCAATGTTTTCCTGCAGCCACTTTATGTTACCAAGAACATGGTTAATTTTTGAATATATGGTGCCTATAGAGTGTTTATTGGTCCAAGTATAATAGTCTCCCATACTATCCTTCTCATACAATCCAGCATGATCCATCAAACTTCTGAGATCTTCAAATTCTCTCTCAGTCACTAGATTCCCGCCTATTCTGTCCATGGCTTTGGTTACATTGTTGAAATCTCCCATAAGGAACCAAGGACCCTGTTGGCTATCATGAATATGCTTCAAATCTTCCCACAGATGCCTTTTTTTCTCAAGTTGGTTCAGTGCATAGATTGCTGTCATCCAAGTTTGAAACACTCCATTTGCATCATGGATACCACAGTGTATCATCTGTGATGTGCGTTTTATAACTCTAACATCACATTGCCTCTCATCCCAGCATATCCAAATTCTACCATTGTTATGTTCTGTGTAATTGTCAAGATATTGGCCTTTGAGGTTAAGTTGATTCCTGATTTTTCTCACCTTATCATACTTAACTCTAGTCTCAAGTAAAATTGCAATCTTAGGGTGAAGGTGTAAGAGACGGGAGCTTATCTCCTTTACCTTCCCTAATTTATTCAGCCCCCTCACATTCCAAGATGTAATCATTATCCAATATTTTGAGACTCTAGAAGATCCTTCGAAATCTCAAGAGCCTCAAATCCATTATCACAAACAATCGTGGTTCCGCAATTGGGATTAACTTTTGGTTTACCTCTATCCTTACCACTTCTTATAACTTCTATCCATTTTTCCATGACTGCTTCAACCTGTTCAATTATATTACCTTCAATACCTTGAGATGGATTTTTATCCGGGGGAGTCCCAGCTAAGCTACTTCTGTTTTCATTTGTAGTCACAGCAGGGGAATTCACAACATTTTTATCAGGTGCACTAACAGTAGGGGAATTAACATTGTTGCCTATAATGTTGTTGTGTCCTGCACTCCCAATGATCATATCAGCAGAGCTGGCCATCACAGGTTTACCTACAGGTTGAGGTTTAGGTTTCCATTGTTGTGTCACATTAGGTTTGTCACATCTATGTCCAATCTTTTGAAATTTACTGCAGAACTGGGGTTTCCACTCATATTCAATAGGTTGTTGAATCTTTTCGCCTTCATTGTCGCCAATTGTAATTGTTTTTGGGAGTTCCTTTGTGATATCCATTTCCACTAGTATTCGCGCATAGGATACGCGGAGTCTGTTTGTCGTACACTCATCTGTCATGATGGGATTTCCAAGAGCACTTCCTATCTTGTTTAAACTTGTATCTCCCCACAAAATGATGGGTAGTTGAGGCAATTTCATCCAAATAGGAAGGGTTCCCATCAGTTCATCTTTAACCTTGAAACCTGGCCTCCATTCACGAATCAACAGAGGAATATTCCTTATCATATATGGTCCTCTCAGCAAAACTTCATCACGGTCCTTGAATGACTTGAATCGTAGTATAAAATAACCTTCATCGTTGTAATACATATCCGGCAATTGAACAAAATTCCAAGTCTTAGTCATGAAGTTCTTGACCGCATTCATACTTAGGTCAACTCCCATTGTGTATAGAATCAGAGAGGATTCCCAAAATTTTACCTCAGAGATGATATCATCGTCTTCAATTACCACTTCAAGATTCCCGTTCACGACTTGGGGTGCTATGTATTTCATCGCTCTGCCCTTCATCGGATTCCTATTGTCCTTGAGCACATCTACCCAAAGTTTTTGACCTTCCTCAGAAGCATCTTCATGACTAGGTTTACCAGTCTCAGATTGTTTGGAGATTGCAGCTAGTGTAGCGTCTTTCGGTTGGGTGGCGGTTCCAATTCCTTCATGGTTAGGTTTATCAGGGCATACTTCTAGGGTTCCTAATTCCAGACTCTCTTATGCAATTTCACAACTATTGCTCTCGTGTTGGTTTTGGACTTCTACTTGTTGGTTTGTAGATGACAATGGTGGGGAAATAACTGGCGGAGGCACCGTGTTCTTCGGCGGCCGCCCTCGCCCTCGCCCTCGCTTCATCTTCTTAATTTAATAATTAATAATAATAATTTTATTTTTAGTCCTTCTTGATATAATATTTTAATACTTTTTTTATAGAAACATCATATTTTCAAAATGTGGAAATATAATTATTAATATCTAATATGTTGTTTTATACCATTTATAATATGTTTATGGATTGATAAGAGGTTAATATTATTTTATACTATTATAATATTCAATTAAAATTACAATAATAATTATTATTGTTTGTATAATTGATGCGAATATAAAAAAATTTACATGTCATAAATATTTAAACGTGTTTCTAAGAGTATATGTCATTTTAGTTAATTTCTTAAGTTAAAGGACCCGTAGGTTAAAATTTTGCATTAGTACAGTCATTAGTCTTGATATAATTTTCAAGAAATACTGTTTCTAAAACAATGATAATGAAGAATTAGAATTGTGGCACATATGATCATTACACCATATGGGTGAAATGATGATGGGATGCCAAAGAAAAGCAGGATGTTGTATTGTTTTTATGATTTTTTTTAATTATTATTTAACAGATTTTAATTATTTTAATTGTGCATTGTTGAGCTATTTTTTAATTAATTTATTAACATTATTTAAAAAAAATCTTAAATAGTATATTATTTTAAAAATTTATTTTGCAAATCCATGAATCTAAAAATGTGTCTTTCTAGATGCATTTTTAAAAAAAAAATGCTTAAATGAGATAAAATTGATGATGTTTGTTTATAATTTGTAAGAAGAAAGATGAATGTTTTTTTCTTATAAACCTTTATGAAGTGTAACACATTAGTATTCGTGCGAAAGTATATGTATCTAGATCAGAATTCATACAAACCTATAAGTTATAAAAAAATTTTTTGTATAATTAAAGAAAAAAAGATATTAGAAATAATTTATGAACCCAAACTCGGGAAAATGTGTTTTTTTAATTATTTATGTTACTGATATTTTTATTTCAAAATTTCTTTTATTTTAAGATACTATATTTTTAAAGATAATATATGAAAAAGTAAGCTATATTTTATTGATGTAATCATTTCACTAATATATGTTATTAATGGCAAATTTATTTTTAAATTAATGACTGAATTTTAATATTTTTTAAACGGGGAACAAATGCTTTTTCCAAAATATTTTTATAAATAATGTCAAAATAAATATAATATTACATAAAAGAAAATATATCATTCTTCCAATTATTTTTATACATGCAAAAATTATATTTATGATCCATATATAAATCAAAATAATTATTTCTTTTAAAAATAATAAACTCTTTTGGTAAAAAATTGTGTTTCTTTTTTACATTCTTATTATATCTAAGTTCAAGGGTGATTCCATGCGTGCGCATTTGCACGAGTTATTACAATTTTGTTATAATTACAGAAAATAAAGTAAATAAATTTAAAATAATGTATCAATCGAAACACGGGCAAAATGTGTATATTCATATTGCTAATATTTATTTATATAATTAGTATTATATTTATAAATATTACTTTATTATTTGATATTTATAAATCTAAATAATTGCAAAAATATTTTTATAAATAACGTTAAAACAAAAATAATATTGCATATAGGAAAAAATACCATTCATCCATTTATTTTTATATATACAAAAATTATATTTATAATCCGTATATAAATAAAAATATATTTTTCTTTTATAAATAATAATCTGTTTTGGTATAACAATTTTGTTTTCCATTTTTGTATTTTTATTATATTTTAAAAATAAATGCGTGTAACATACTAGTAGCCGTGCGAACACACGTCTATCTCTCTAGTTATTTCTAATAGAAAGTTATTAAATTTATTTAATTATTATTATTATAAAAAGTAATTGTTTCTTGAAGCAATACATGTATAAAGTAATTGTTTCTTTAAGCAGAATCTAGAGTTTGGTAAAATCACCAGTTGTGTGAAAGTCTTTCTCATTACATCTTATATTTACTGGTACAAAAACAAGAACTTTCAAAAAAAAATCAAAGAATTGGAAAATGCTTGTATATCTATTTCATTCAAATTACATTAATTTGTTGAATTTGTTTCAATGAATTATGTGGTGCTTCATAGTATGGTGGGATGGGTTAGATAATAGAGATTAGTGATTTTTTATATAAAAATATTCCTCAAATGGTGGTTGGATTAAATAATAATATAAAAAAAATTCTAAATATAAATAATCATCTAAAAAATATTTTTCTCTAAATGTGAGATATGTGTTAGATGATAATAATATATTATTATATTATGTGTTAGATGATTTTTTATATTTAATTTTTTTTTAATGTTTAGAGGGAAATATTTTTAGGGGATAAATTTGGAGGGAAGATTGCCACCAAAAATTTGATGTTGCTAAAATTTTATGCAACATTGAATGAATGTAGCCTTTTTTATTAGAAGTAATGTAACAATCTAAAAATGTCCCCAAAAGTATTTAAGGGGACAATTATCAAACATTGTTAAAGAAATAGTATAATGACTCTTCGGAATCGTCCCCAAAAGTAGTTAAAGACACATTTAACAATCGTTGCCAAAAAAATAAAAGAGTGACGCTCTAAAAACGTCTTCAAAAGTATTTTAGGCAATGATTATCAAGGGTTGCAAATATATTTTTGTCAACAACCATAAATTGTTGCCTTTACGAATTTTAGGCAACAATTTTTACATGTTACCTAAAAAAGTGTTTCCAGAGACAAAAAATGTTGTAGTTATATGTAAATTTCTAAGATATCAAGTAAAGTCAACGCGCATGAAATGCTAATCCTGAAACTATCAATGCAACATATGTATTTGTCTTGAAGTTTTTGTTTTTCTTTTGAAGAAGATATCGCAATAACTTGTGACCGAAATCACTAGTGAGGATATGAACTCAATTTATAACGCCAACATTAAATTGAGCATGGCTCGTAAGAGTCAGGGAAAGTTATCTCATCGAGTATGCTTTCAAAATTAACCCTACTTGAATTAGGTCTTTTGATGGTTGTATCGTGGCTTGGTTCACGGTTTAAGAAACAAAGGATAAAGGCTCAAAGTTTATTTGTACCCACCCCTTCTTCGTGATGTTCTCCAATCCTACATTCAGTTAACTGGATACGAGCATTCATCTCTCAAGCGGATTTGATATGTTCGAGAACTCATTTAGGTTTTGGACATGGCAGTCACTCACCTATTTCTTTTGGTGTTTGATCACACGACTTTGTTCTTTATTGGGGATCCTTTATTGTAACCCCTTGTTTTTTGGCTTTTCGCGTTTTTGTTCCCTAACTTTTTCCTGGACGGAGTCCTTTGAATTTGACGTTGGAGTCCAGCGGGATGCCTCAGTTTTTCCTAAGTCTCCTTCATAAGTTTTGACTTAGCGGGCTCTTTTTTTTGAACAACTCGTTTGACTCTTTTGAAAGGCTTGTGACTGCCCCACTCTTTAGGTAGTCGAGGGATAGTCATTGTGTTTTTTTCCAGCATCCTATCATGTTAAGGATAAAATGGATTCTCGAAGGTTCACTCCTCCTTTTTGAAAGTTTGAGTATTTGATCAGTTTAACTGAAAAACTACCCTACCCCAGGTTAAAATTGAGGGTTTTTATTTGGAAAAGAAAACTCCTACTTCAAGGCTCAAAGAGGGATTATCTTCCTTATATCTCCAGTGTTTAGGATTTGAAACAATGCCTTACATCATCAGCAGGGTTTCATTTGAAAGCATACGACAAGAGTTCTGACGTTTTTGTTTCATCATCCTCTTCCCAATTCTCCATCAAAGCAAGAGATTGGGTAAAGTTGGCATTATAAATTATGAAAAGTAGTTTTTGAGTGAATACGAATGGATTTCTTCAAGATAAACATATGCATTACATTAATTATTTAAAACAAACAAGTTCGTACATGCTAAATATGCTTTCATAGTCAAAGAAATAAAATACATATAAGTAAACAAAATGAACTGTCTGACAAGCCTAGCTAAAGGAGTTTATGTCTGCGTATCCAAGACCGGCACAATAGTAATGGTTTCTTCTGGCAAAGTCTCATTGAAATAGGGAGTATGACTACGATCACTGCAAGTCATCTTGCTTTCCCCAGCTATGTTGGTCACATCTTCATCAACAATTTTCAATTCTTCCTTTGGAATAACCTTCCCAGAATCTTTGTCAATCATGGTCACATCATCTTGAGGATCACTAAAATGAAATGGACTAGGCTTCTATATAATTACCGCCTTTGGCTGATTCGCTGTAGGAGTAACTGGCTTAGATATGTTAAAAACAGGCTTTGTAGAGCTTGATCTCGACAAATGGAAAACCCTGAGAGGAGTCCTGATCTGAGCAACATTAAGAAGAAGGCTTTCATCAGATGAATCATCAATAGCATTAAGAGCCCCATGATTTGGTAGAGGGTTATCCCTGACATTTGGATGAGGATCATCAAAAGACAATATCTTCTTTTCCAACAAATCTCTGATAATGGATTTGAGAGCATAACAGCTTTCCAAATCATGGCCAGGCGCACCCTCATGAAATAAACAATGGGCGGAGGTGTTGTAATTGGCAGGTAAAAGATTAGGAGATGAACGCAAAGCTCGGGTAGTAATCAGACCTTGTTGCACTAATGAAGGGTACAACTCGATAAAAGTCATCGGAATCGAAGGACAAGGCTTGTATTGTCTCCTGTTGGGAGCATTCTGACGAGGTTCCTGATTCTTAGGTTGTTGATAAGCAGGAGCACTGGGCACTCGTTGATAGTTGACAGGAGTTTGTACAGGCTGATAACCAGTAGGTTATTGATAGACCGGAGCTTAATAAACAGGAGTCGGTTGCATAGGCTGATAAGCAGGAACTTGTTGATTGAAGGTAGGTGTAACAACAGCTACATAGGATTGTTGAGCATATTGAACAGGATAACCTTGTTGTTGAACATAGTTCCGCTAACATTGCCAAGGTTGATGAGTAGCCATTTTACGGTAGTACCTGATCGAGTGACTCCTCGGGTGTGTAGCTCTTT